AGGTCAGTGGGCTGAAATGAAAAGAAAATTGAATTGCTTGCATGGATTATGCTGGGGCTTTGAGGAACTAGTTCAATACGATTTCTGTGAAGGATGGGCTGATGGTGGTGGTAGAAATGTTTAGTATTCCTTCATTTGTTCACCAAAATTATTACGGGCTAGGCAGTCTACTAGATGCTAGGGATATAAAGAGGACCAGGATATGGTCCCTGCTCTGAGGGAGGGTGTGTGTGTGTCATAATCTTGCAAGAAAGGAAAGTGGCATAACTCTAGTGATTGATATACCTATAGCACGAGGACTTCTTGGTTAGAGGTCCCCAGTCCTGCTTCACTCTCAGATCCACTGGTCCAGAGGAAAGTAAAATTATGATTACCTCTAGGTAATATTTTCCTAGGTGGTTTAGAAAACATGGGAGTCCATATTAGGTATAGACTAGAATCTGTATATCCTTCCCCTCAGTGAGGGACCAAGTTAAAGCAGGATAGTACAAAAGTTATTCATTAGGCAGAATTCCTGTTTTGGCTGTAGGCAACATAAGATGGCAACTGGGTTTTGTTTCAAGAACCATTCTGTAAACAATTCAGTAATGTACAAAGGGGTGAAAAAGGGCTAATCAGCAGTGTTCCTGTTATTTAGGTAAGTTAATGAGAAACCGTGGCTACCTTAGGAGAATTTTTTTTTTTTATTCCAGGAAATTTGTGTTCTTCAGCTGCCTGCCTTCTGAATCATTTCTACTTCTATCAGTTCTTTCCCAGTGCATGTGTGTCTTGTGCTGCTTTAAGCATATCTTGTAGGTAGGAGGAGAAAGCAGCCTGCATACATTGAGAAGCACACAGTAATTATCTTGGTCAGACCAAGAATCCTTGATGAGTCTTGTCCGTTCCTCTTTTGACAGGTACCACAACTCCCAGGATTTTCTTGGATCAAACCTTGTATCTCTTCCCCAAGTATCGTGTATATTGGTCTGAGAGATGTGGACCCTCCTGAACAGTAAGTTGATACATTGGGGTTAAGCTTTGGGCCTGTCTCGGATATTTATGTTCCTTTTGATAGGTTGTTCCTTGCCTTAACCTGTTGTAGGTCACTATAGAGACAGACTCACCCCCAATCCCACCCCAACAAGGATTTGATTAAAAATGCTCTTTAAACTAAGGACTCCTTCCTTTATATCTCATCCAGTTTTATTTTAAAGAATTATGATATCCAGTATTTTTCCATGAGAGACATAGATCGACTTGGTATCCAGAAGGTTATGGAACAGACATTTGATCTGCTAATTGGCAAGTAAGTAACTACAGTGGATGTCTACTTCCAAAGGGAAAAGTCCCAAAGGGAATAGGGAAGACTCCCAATGAACAACACACTTTAGCCCATGTCTTGAGGATAGCAGCTTTTTTTTAAAATAAAAGCAAAATATGTACACATACAAAAAAATTCAAATAATTTGGAAAGGCAGAATATGAAACAGGTCATATTCTTCCTCTGGGATTGGGAGGGGGTTTCCTTGAAGTCATTGCCCAGCTCCTCTGTCTCTCATGAAGTTTTTTTTAAGTCCATTTTTAAGTCTTATCTTTTGAGATGAGAAGTGTTTGTTCAACTGTTCCATTCTTTCCTAAGCCCACAATTGCTTCATCTGAAAGTTTTATATTGAGCAAATCTTGACCGTATAGCTAGAAAGATGGCAGATGAATGCCAACAGATGCTAATTATAAGGGCATTTCCTCAGTGTGGAGTCTTTATTTCCAGGTGATTAATGGCATACTACCAGGTAGCAATTACATTTCTTAAGCTGTTAAGAAATTTAGTTATCTAGCATATATGTGTTGTATGCTAGTTTCTACTCTTGGAAACCAGGGTGAAACTGAAATTAGAATTGGGAGATAAGATTATAGACTTCAAATCAATTAAGTTCAGCTGCTATTATATGGAGAGACTGAGCAACTGTAATCTAGATCAATCTAGGAAAAGTGAAGAATTCCCTCTATTGACAGTTGTTAATGTGAATGGCTCTAATGCCTAGGTTAAGTCATAAGTATAAACTGCAGTTAATCTGTCTGAGGCACACAAATGGCAAAATTATGACGTGGCGTGTAGAAAGCTAATATAGTAATACACAGTAACATCCAGAATAGGAAACCTGGAAATCTGCTGTATTAGCAAAGTACCAGGACTAACAGCAACAAAATCAAGGAACTAAGACTGTAGGAAGGATCAATGTCCAAGTACACCCAAATGACTATTCTCTTATCCTCTTCCTCTCAAGAAGACAAAGGCCAATCCATCTGAGTTTTGATATTGATGCATTTGACCCTACACTGGCTCCAGCCACAGGAACCCCTGTTGTAGGAGGACTGACCTATCGAGAAGGCATGTATATTACTGAAGAAATACACAATACAGGTAAGAAGTGATCATCCTGTTAACTATGGAAATATGCTGACCTCTAACATGCCAAAAGATTTTCTTCTATTCCATGCCATTACAGATACGATATTTCTTAAACTTTTATAACTGAAAGTCATTTGGTCAGGCTAATAAGGGATAGTCATTTATAGGCATATTTTGACTTGGATCATAGCAAAATATGCGAAGGTAATACTGAATAACCTGCCAAACTGATATAGTCCTTTGCATCTGAATTGTCTAAAGGCTAAGATTAAAAAGCAAGGCCAAGTACCTATAATTTTTACCCTGACATTAAAAGTTCACTTGGAATTAAGAAGGTAGAGTTAAACCTTCTGGAAGATAGTTTAAAGACGGACAATATCTTGGGTCCTTTCATATAGGATAAGCCTTATACTAGAGCTTGATAGTTTATTTTTTAAACTTTAAAAAAAAAATTTTTTTTTTCTTTTTAACGTTTATTGATTTTTGAGACAGAGAGAGACAGAGCATGAACGGGGGAGGGTCAGAGAGAGGGAGACACAGAATCAGAAACAGGCTCCAGGCTCTGAGCTGTCAGCACAGGGCCTGACGCGGAGCTCGAACTCACGGACCGCGAGATCATGACCTGAGCCGAAGTCGGACGCTTAACCGACTGAGCCACCCAGGCGCCCCTTTTAAATTTTTTTTTAAAGCTTATTTATTTTGAGAGCGATCAAGTCAGCTCAAGTGGGGGATGGACAGAGAGAGGAGAGAGAATCCCAAGCAGGCTCTGCACTGCCAGCACAGAGCCAATGCAGGGCTCATGACCTGAGCAGAAACCAAGAGTCGGACGCTTAACCTACTAAGCCACCCAGGTGCCCCTATTTATGTTTTAAAGTTTAATTATTTGAGAGAGGGAGGGAGGGAGGGAGGGAGGGGTGGAGAGAGAGAATACCAAGCAGGCTCCACACTGTCAGTGCAGAACCTGATGTGGGGCTCAATCTCACAAAGTGTGAGATCACAGCCTGAGCCAAAATCAAGACTTGGAGGCTCAACTGAGCCACCCAGATCCCCCTATTTCTAATTGCTCAAACCCTCTGGATTACTTCTGGGCTACAAAGTTTCCGGTTTAGTCAGTGGAAATCAGACACACAAATCATCAGAGACCCAGATGCTTGCACAGGAACTGGTGGAAATGCTGCAGTAACATGCCTGCTCATTTCAGTTTTGCATTGAACTACACATTACTAATAAAGGATTTTACACTGAACAAATGTAATGGCACCGAGCAGGTCATGTACTATACTATAGTATCAATAAAGCAGTAGGTATATACACCCATGTTTCCAGGCTTCATGGCCACCCTAAGTGGCCTAAGTATACTGATACTTGTATTCTCCAATACTAGTCTGTTCAAATGACTTGAAGAGGTAGATTAACTTCACCCAGAATAACAACAAAAAAGTTTACCTCAAAGAAGTGGGGCCTGTGTGTTGGGGATGGGGAGTAGAAGGCATGTCTGGGTAGGTTCTTCGGGTTTACTCTTCCCTTCTCAAACCCTTTAGTACAAGTTCTTCAGCCCTCACAGAAGGTAACAAGTCCAGATTAAAGTATGGCCAAGTCTTCCCTTGACTAAGCGCAAGATACTGGGTCAGTACCATGGGAGACCTAAACATCTTGTCAGACATGATACCTGCCCTTAACCTGCAGGGGTGAGACTAAGATCTGCCCTAATAACTATGCTTCAGGGCATGTGGTGCCTTAAGAGATAAAACGTCAGAGTTCAAAAGTGGGGAACAGCTCAAAAGATCTCTTCATACAACTACATACAGACATCTGGAAGGTTCCTAGTAATACTGGACATGGCACATATTTTCCCAACAAGTAGGCTGAAAAATCCTACCTCCTCCCCACAGGCTCTTTCCTCATCTCATACAGAAAACCTGACAGCTATGCCTATTCTGTTAGTTGAAGAGGGATGATTGATTTTAATCTTACTCTAGTATACAGTGTTTGAACTTCATGCCCAAGAAGATGAGGTAGGTATAAGGGGTTCCTTGACCGTAGGTAATTTTAATAGTAGAAAATTACTTTTTACCTTGGCCTGTTCTATCTAGTAGGACGACCCTCACTGAAAAGAGCAGCTGGGAATCTTCTAAGGTTTTGTCATGCTTTGTTCTTTCAGGATTGCTGTCAGCACTGGATCTTGTTGAAGTCAATCCTCAGCTGGCTGCTTCAGAGGAAGAGGCCAAGGCTACTGCAGGCCTGGCAGTGGATGTGATTGCTTCCAGTTTTGGTCAGACAAGGGAGGGAGGGCACATTGTCTATGACCAACTTCCTACTCCCAGTTCACCAGATGAATCAGAAAGTGAAGAACGTGTGAGAATTTAGGAACTTTGTGTGCTGACACGTTTGTCATGATGGGCATTCCAGAATTATGAGGCATTTGAGGACACATATACTAAATGGTTGTCTGGGTCAATATTGCCTTAATGAGAACATTTGTGCATTCTCACAATTGTAAAGTTTCCTTTCCCTCTCCATTTTGGTGACCAATACTACTGTAAATTTGTGGGGGTTTTTTTGTTTGTTTTTGCAGTTCACAGGCTATTAATATGTTGGAGTACTATGTAAATTTAAAGGAGTCATAAACAGCATTTATTACCTTGGTATATCATACTGGTCTTGTTGCTGTTCCTTCACAGTAAAGTGGTTTTCCGTCTTCCCTCCCTTCTCCCAGTCTAGCTACACAGTGCATCCTTGAACCATTACCTTACAGCAGCACTCCGCTTATTCCCCATCCCTAACACCATTCATTCACAGGGTCAAAGTTCTGGTCCGCAAACCCTTCCCTCTAGGAAGTTCAATGCTTGTGAAAGAATTTGTAATAAACCAGACCCCCTAGGATGGCCAGCTCCAGTAAGATGACGATGGAAAGTAGCAGCTTGTTGGTTGTCACTCTACAAAGAGAAACAAAGCAGGGAACAGTCAGAAGCCTGGATGTCCTTATTTCTGTCCATTTGTAATACTGAGGAGTTTGACCCTCAGGCTGAGGCTAGATACTGTGAGACAGATTGAAATTGTTTGATCACATAGCCACTGAAGTTAGTGTATATATAAGGTTCCTTCAAGTGACATCTTGAAAGCTTTTTTCAACTGTAATTTAGGGATAACACTACCTCACGGAAATGTTGAAAATTGTGACAACAGATACCAAAGCATAAAAATGGTTTCTTGATTCTAAAATGTTTTCAAATAGTAGTTACTTTCTCACTTTAAGAATAGCTTTCCTAGAGGCATCTGGCTGGCTCAGTAGGAAAAAGATGTGACTCTTGATCTTGGGGTTTTGAGTTCAAGCCCCATGTTGGGTATAGAGACTACTTAAATAAAACTTTAAAGGCTTTTTTTTAAATTTTTTTTTTTCAACGTTTATTCACTTTTGGGGCAGAGAGAGACAGAGCATGAACGGGAGAGGGGCAGAGAGAGAGGGAGACACAGAATCGGAACCAGGCTCCAGGCTCTGAGCCATCAGCCCAGAGCCCGATGCGGGGCTCGAACTCACGGACCGCGAGATCGTGACCTGGCTGAAGTCAGACGCTTAACCGACTGTGCCACCCAGGCGCCCCTAAAGGCTTTTCTAGGAGAGCTAGTGTTTATTAAATATGAAAGATGTCTTTTTTTTTTTTTTTGAGTAGGCTCAATGTCCAATATGGGGCTTGAACTCATGACCCTGAGATCAAGCGTCAGATGCTCTACCAACTGAGCCAGCCAGTCACCCTGAAAAATTATTTCTGAAATCAGGTTGAATATTTCAAAATAGCAGAAATATAATACCACTATCTAACTACTCTCTTCCTCCATTAACCCAAAAGGATACTTTATAAAAGCAGTAAACTTTTTGAAGCTGTTATATTATCTTTTGTTAACACAAAGAATGCAATCTCTGGTTCTTCAAGGCAACTCTAACTGAAGCTTTCCTCTGGTTTGACAAGACATTTACCACTGTTTAGGAAAATCTCACTCTACTAGTTCCCTGGCTAGGTTGTAGTTTTGTTTAGTGCACTAGGGTTTTTTTTTTTTTTTAAGTCAACTTCTTGCTAACAGGACAGAACTCCCTGATAAGGGGCTTACTTCCATGAAGGACAAGCAGAGTCAAAAGCAACTACTAAGCAGTAGCTGTAAAAACAGTTTTCTCACCAAGTTTATACAACTATATTTCAAGGAACATGAAGCTCTATTACTCCCATGTGCTCTGAAGAATGTAAACTGGGATTAAAAGTGGACAAATTTTTGACTGCTCCAAGTCAGAGCAGCATATAATTTTAACAAAGAATTTTGTCCTGGGATATTTATACAAGATAATACTTTATTCTTTCTGCTTTATCAGGACCTTTGCAAGTCACTGTTTAATGTCTTAGAGGTAGGAGAAATTTTGTGACTTTTTAAAACTTACTTTCTGGACATTGAACGGAGAATCTTTCGACTTTTGCTCAAGTTTTCACTTGTGTTTACCAGCTGAGAAGAGAAAATAGCAATTATTTCCCCCTTTTAAAAGTAGATACCGTAGAACCTGAACATTCCTAAACTGACAGTGGGCATTAAAGGGTGTGTGCTGAAAAACCCCATCAAACCAATCTGAATGATGGCCTCTGAGTACAAGTAGAAGAAACTGGCAAGGATAAGATACTTTAGTACTCAACAAGCAGGCTTAGGAATTATTATGTCCCAAGGTTACTGTGGGGGACTCCTGGGGCCAAGCTAATCCTTCACCTTGGCTACTCAAGACAGAAAAAAGCTTCAGGTGTGCCTCACCAGTAACTGTGAAGCAACTTAAGATTTGAATTTCATCAACCAAACTCCAGGAGGGCCTCTTGAGTTAGTATTTGTTTTTGTAGGCTGGTCAAATACCACTTTTGGGATCTGATTCATTTTTTCTTTACCACTTTTACAGATGCACTGAATTGTGAAAGGAATTAATCTTTTAAAAGCCTTTAAAAAAATCATTTCCCTTTGGTTGCCTGTTGATAATCAAGATAGCTGGGGGATATTTTAACAGATGCCACCTACCATCTGTTCCCATTCCCCAGTGGCCATGGTAAGTTGATCTCAGCTCATTCCACAGCTTTTAAATTCAACCAATCCACCTGCTTTTTTCAAAAGTCAAAAACCATACAATATGTAAGCAAGTTGTCTTCTCCACAGTTTACCTTGAAATCAGTAGTTGTGAATTTTCACTGAGGATGGAAAGGCATTATTCTGATTTACTTTAAAAATGGGGATAATTGCAGCTATTAGGATATGAGAAAATCCTCTCCAATCCCCACACTGAGCTAATACTTTCCATCCAAGCCTTGCCCACAGTATCTATTCAATTTGGATGTGCCTTTTAACGTTAAGGATATAACATTCTACTGGCAAGCTGCACTATTTTTTAAATTTCTGTGCAGGTATATGGAAAGGGAGAAATGAGTTTTTCAGAACCTCTTAAGAGTGATAGAGACTCCACTGATATAGGCATTTGGTCTAAGTTGTTTCTGTTTTCTTCCCACAATGATCCAGCTTACCTTGGGTAACAGGAAAGAGTCATAGTCTAGGACTGACCCCCTCTATAAATTGTTAGTGGTACTATTTTATGACATGTGGAAAACAGCCTTGGCTCTAAATGAGAAAAAAAACCCAAAACCCTAGGATCTTTTAAGTAGATGACGCTTTCATAAGAACGGGATAATATCCTACTAGATGTATGAGAAAAATCTCAGTTGGTAATACAGGAATTAATAAAAGGATGGAGTGGCTACAGTCTTAGATTTAGTTGACAATCTTCCATAAATACAGAAATTGTGTTTCTTCTGTCTCCACCCTGGCCCCTCCAATGACCTCTACATCTGAGGGGTAAAAAACTTTCAAGAGAACTCTCTCAACCAAGAAAATTAAAAATTGAGAAAAGCTGAAGTGCTTAAAAGGTCCTGACCCTGAATTCAGAACTGCTGTAACTTCCGGCAGTGGTAAGGCATCAGGATATAAAGGGCCCACCTACTTTGCCCCATCCACTCAGACTTACCCTACTCTTAGTACGCTCCAATTGATCACGTTGCTCACCCAACTCTTCTATGATTTCTGAGCCAATCTGGTCAGTCTCTGTGGCGATCCGATGAGAACGCTCAATACTCTGGGTGGCCCGGTTCAGGCTGTCAGTGCCTTGCAGAAGCAATGCCCTTTGAGACTGTAGCCGATTCTGACCAGAAAATGGAACGGAAATATTAAACATCTCCCATCATAAATTCATTGCCAGCACATTCCTTATGACCCTTCTGATGTAAGAAGGGATATAGTGTGTGCAATGTTTACTTATTTTGAGAGACAGTGTGTGGGGGAGGGGCGGAGAGAGAGTTGGGGAGAGAATCTCAAGCAAACTCCATGCTATCACTGCAGAGCCCAAAGTGGGGCTGGCTTGATCCCAGGAACGATGAGATCATGACCTGAGCCGAAATCAAGAGTTGGACACTAAGGGTGCCTGGGTGGCTCAGTCAGTTAAATGTCCAACTTCGGCTCAGGTCCTGATCTCACGGTTCATGGGTTCAAGCCCCGTGTGAAGCTCTGTGCTGACAGCTCAAAGCTTGGAGCCTGCTTCCGATTCTGTCTCTCCCTCTCTCTCTGCCCTTCCCCGCCTGCAGTTTGCCTCTCTCTCAAAAAATAAACATTAAAAAATATCTTTTTAAATAAAGTCACTCAACTGACTTGAGCGACCCGGGTGCCCCTCATTACTTTTAAGACAAACAAAGATGCTAATCAACTATAAGATTATATTCAAGGTCAGATGAAAGCACCTGGAATCCAATACAAGATGACATACCTTTCACTCCACTGGTTTTATACTTGTGATGCAAGAAAAGGAGGTTAAAAACAGAGCATTTTCCCTGTGTTTGTGATGAGGTTGCAATGATTTCATGTACTTTCTGGACTAACAATTTATGAGAGGCAGTGGCCCAGATGTGGGGTGCAGGAGCTATCTGAATATGCGTATAGCCTGTAACTTTTGACAGGACAACAAACCAACTAAATTCCATAGCCTTAGAAATAGATTAATTCACTGAAGATTCCCACCTGACTGGTACTGAGGACTAATGCACCATGAATAAGCTATTCATTTTTAGTACATTCAGACTTCAAAATGATTTGTGACACTACTACATTTTGGAAAACATTTAACTGGTTACAATCCTGGTAAGCCCCAAAAGAATTTCACCTCAGCCATACAAAACATGAACTCTTAAGTTGCCACACTGGTGACTACTCTCAGAGAAGGAGGTATCTGGGGCCAAGTAAGCTGCCCTAATTTCCCTAGTGCCCTAATTTCCTAAATCTCTACCAAAGTTTTACTCCACCTATAATCCCAAGCACCAAGGCATGATGACAGAAGTAGCCATTGTCAGCCAGAATTAACCACCGACAAATAGGAACAGTTAAGTTCTTAGCTATTAAAGCACTTATACATGCACCACTCAGAAAGGGGCCGGTTCACAGGGCCTATTACTGATGCCACCATCAGGCAGCCAAAATATTGGGTTTCTAGATGAGAAGTTTTCATATGTGGCATACAGGCCAGTGGATGATGGAACCACTGAATGTCACTGAAATTAATCCCAGTTAATTCAGCTCAAAAGAAGTAGGAATAAGGAATAAGGCTTTTTTTTTTTTTTATTTGTGTTTTTTTTTTTTTAATGAAAGATGGATATTTTTAACTGATTAGATTGAAGAGAAGGAAAAGACAGTAAGATCACATAAATCAACTCGAGGTCTGGAACAGTAATTCCAATGAAGGTGGTATGTATATTTAAATTGTTTTTATGACTCTGAAACTAGTAATTTTAAAGCAAATTATTGTTTGGCTTTATCTCCCCCCCCCCCCTTTTTTTTGTTGGTTTATTTTTGGTAACAAATGACCAAAATCACTTTATACCTCTCATTTCACTTTAACAAGCTTCACCTATCTGCCTTTTCCCAGTCTCCCTTTACAAGTGAATTTTGAAACGTTTATATCATTTTCAAATACTCCAGTTTGACACCAGTAAATGTCAGGCCAGTATCGTCTGAACTCTTCAACTATAGTCAGGACGCATCATCAAACAGGATTCTTTCTACACACATGTAGTCTGCACTTACAGGCCCCGCCATTTCTTTCCCATGCTCCTGGCCAGGCCACCTGCCAGGCCATTTCTACTTTGCACAGTGGAATATAATTCCAAATGCAACACATTACATTTAGTCTTTGTAAACTTTTACTCCTTTAACTTCTCTAGATAGTTTCAGAATATAGATTTTCAACTCTGTCAGTCTAATTTGATAAATCAGAATACTGGGGTCTAGAGAGGCAGTCTGGCTTACTTTCTATTACAACTAAGTAAGCTGTGAGCCCCTTCCTGAAAGCGTGGGCTATCCTGATAAAAACCTAACTGAATTTTTTGAGCATATCTGAAAAAACTGGATTTATGGGTCAGAATACAAAGTCCAGATACAATAAGAAAAGGGAACTCTTGTATTCCTCCACTATATATCAAGCACTGTTTTATTAAAGATACAAAGAAATCTAAGCATGGTTGGTAAAGATCTGCATTAAATAACAAGACAGGTGAGGGGCGCCTGGGTGGCTCAGTTGGTTAAGCATCCGACTTCAGCTCAGGTCATGATCTCACAGTCTGTGAGTTCAAGCCCTGCGTCGGGCCCTGTGCTGACAGCTCAGAGCCTGGAGCCTGCTTCGGATTCTGTGTCTCCCTCTCTCTCTGCCCCTCCCTGCTCATGCTCTGTCTCTCTCACTATCAAAAATGAATAAATGTTAAAAAAAAAAAATTTAACAACAACAAAAAAATACAGGAGAGGTGGTTACCCCAAGGCGGGAGGGGAACTGGATGCAGGAAAGAGGATAAGGTGGGAAGAATAAGAGTTCAATAAACACTGATAACATAAACTGTACTCTACGACATGGTTAATTTTTGTGCCACAGGCCCTTGAGATAAAAAAAAAAAAAACAGCTAAGGCTTACCATATGCTCATTCTCTACAGTGTATGTGCCATATTTCATGTCTCCTCGGCCCCCAGGTGTGGCTGTCAAAGGTGTGCTTCTCACTTCCCGATGGAGTTTAGCAAGGTCCTTCCGGTAGGTTCGAAGCTTAGACATCATAGGGTTACGGAAAGACAGAGGTGCATAACGTAGTTCCTCTTCCATCTCTGCCAGCTAGGAAGGCAGAAAGTGAGTAGATAGCCTGGTTCTTTTCTCTCTCATCTGGGCACATGCCTAGTATGGACTAATCAAACCACAGACAACTGCAAACAAGTATTCAACCATATGTTCCATGAGGGCAGGGACCACATGTGATCTGTTCACCTCATTATTCTGAGTGCCTGGCACAGTGCCTAGCATGCATAGAACAGGCATTCAAGAAATATGTGATGAATGAGTGAAAAAAACTAACAAGCACCTTATATCTGACTAAACATTTTTATATGTATTATCTCATTTAATCTTCCCTGTCCTCAATAAGGTAGTAAATACTACTTCTATTTCATATGTAAGAATTGAAGAAATGTACTCAAGATAACACAATAAGGGAAGTCAGGATTCAAAATCTTCAAATTGCCTTTCCAGTATACCAAATTCTTAAGCTGTTATAGTTCAAGTACTCTCATGAAACACTTTGAAGTCTACTGTACTAAAAATGATAGGGGTCTGGCATGAGGTTTCTTCCTTCCTCTTCTTTTGGAAAATCAATTGTTTGTCTCCATGTCCTATATAACCAGGGGTCCACATGAGATCTCCATTTTATTGGGTAAGTAAAATATAACACTCAGACATGTTCACAAGAGCCATAAATTATTTTCATCTGCCTGGGATGGCCAAAGTTGGATTGGTTAATTTTACTAAGTTCAGAGAAAAGTATCTAAGCACGAAACAAATAAATTGGTATTAGCTGAAAGATGTTTAACATTCTACAAAGATATTAACCAAAAAAAGACTGATTCTATAACTGGTATCCTGCAGATGCCCAGATTTACACAGGAATTAAGAAGAGTTTCTAGTATGTCCACTGTGAAGGAGATAGTTTCCACAATCTGGTGGCCTGACTTTATCCATTCATCCATCGGTGGACATTTGGGCTCTTTCCATACTTTGGCTATTGGAACCTGGATTTTACCCCCAAATTTCTGAAAGGGTTTGATGAAGCTAGAGGATAAGGATATGGAGACAGAGGGACACTACTTCTAAAAAATAAGGTTTTGTTTTGTTTTTAAAGAAAAGCTATAGATTAAGAGAGAAGCAGTTGTTAAATTGCTCGGCAGCCTGGACCAACATTTGACCAGCCCACTTTGGGTCCTGACTGGAAACCTGTCCAGTCCATGCATGCCCTGCCCAAGGAACCAAATCCAGCCACTATGCTTGTTTGTTTGCTTTCTCTTTCTCTCATTTAATTAATTTTTATTATTTCAGCTTTTATTAATAAAACTAAACTCAAGGCAACTGCTTGGTTCTTGCATTTGATCTGACCATATACACCAGACAAGTGGTTCTTTATGAGGACTTAGGGGAGAAATGTCAATATACAGACAGGTTCCATCAAAACTGGGATGTTGCAATATCTAATAAAGTTAGGTAAATGAAATTAAAGAGAACATATTATATATTAAAAACCAGAAATCTCCCCCTCTAATATCAGGGGATTCCTTTAACAGTCTTCAACGTGTTTGTCAAGATCAATCATATTCACTATGTTGTCTTTTTTTTTTTCAATGTTTTTTTTTTGGGGGACAGAGAGAGACAGAGCATGAACAGGGGAGGGGCAGAGAGAGAGGGAGACACAGAATCGGAAACAGGCTCCAGGCTCTGAGCCATCAGCCCAGAGCCTGACGCGGGGCTCGAACTCCCGGACCGCGAGATCGTGACCTGGCTGAAGTCGGACGCTTAACCGACTGCGCCACCCAGGCGCCCCTCACTATGTTGTCTTTTAAAACAGCAGAAGGGAAGTACAACCACTTCTGAGGTACATTTTTTGTGATAATAATTTTAACAAAGAAGAATAACTCATCTTAATGGCCAGCTTTTAAAATTTCATTTTAAAAGACCACCCAGGTAGGGGCAACCAGGTGGCTCAGTCGGTTAAGAACCCAACTTCAGCTCAGGTAATGATCTTGCGGTTCATGAGTTTGAGCCCCGCATTGGTCTCTGTGCTGACAGTTCAGAGCCTGGAGCCTGTTTTGGATCTGTGTCTCCCTCTCTGCTCCTCCCCAACTCGTGCTCTGTCTGTCTCTCTCTCTCTCAAAAATAAACATTAAAAGACCACCCAGGTAAAGGTTTGAGAATGCCCTTACTACTCACATCAGGAATGTATTATATCAAATACTAATTTTAAGAGAGTAAGCTTTACCCATTTGTGTTTGTCAAATCCTCTCATCACTCACCTCATCAACTGGCCTCACTTAGTAAGAAATAATCCAAATCAAGATCAATACACAGGAACATTTAATCTGTGGTCGGGTAATAATTCTGGAAAAGACTAACTCCAGGTAGAAGAAATAAGGACTTGCTCCCTGTTCTTACCGTTTCATTTGCTTCCTGTTGCTTTTCATCAAAATCTCTGATCAGTTTTTTCTTCTCTTCTGGAAAAGGTAAACAAGTTTCAAGAGTTCAGTCCTGCCTTCCATATATTTGTAGAGGTCATTCTCTCTGCTTACAATAAATTCCCCAACCCTCTCTCCTGATGGGGTAACAGTACTTAATCACCTCTAAAAAGCATTTAGACATGTACAGGAACTTGTTATCACAACGATGGGGGAGTGAAGGAAGTGGGTATTACGAATGGCATTTAGGGTCCAGGGAACAAAAATATCCATGCTTGGGACACTCCTGAATTATCTGGCCCCAAAGGTCAAGATTATTCTACTATGAAACACTATAGGTCTAAGTTAATTACTGTCAATCTATTTTTCCCAAGAGGGATCAGGCACACCATCAACAAGAATGTTTAACAATACTGATGTTCTAAATTCTTGTTCCCACGTTCACCTCCACTGTGAAACATTTCTCTGTATTAACCCTCATCCACTGCTTTTCTGCAAAATAAATTCAAGACTCACGTATTCTGCTTGCTGGGGAGACTGCATGGTATGGTACATATTTCTCAGCCGTATCCATTGGCGGTGATATGTAAAATGATGCAAATACCACGGACTCACACAGTGAGAAAATCATTCCCTTTGCAATTCTCTTTCAATCCTTTGCATTATGTCATTTCAGTGCTAGTATGTCTTTAATACCTAAAAATTACTAATCTCTTTTAACAAAAATAGAATAGGCTTCAGCTTCCAACCAGTAACATTTAACTAAAACAGCATTGTTTTGCCTGGACTGTATTTTTTAGATCATTTAGATAGGTCTCCAAGAGTTTCCACTTAAGAGATCTATCATTCCATCACAAAACAGTGCAATATAAGGGCACCTGGGTGGCTCACTCAGTTAAGCATCTGACTTCAGCTCAGGTCATGATCTCACAGTTTGAACCCTGCATTGGGTGAACTTGAGCCCCACTTCGGGTGAGCCCTGCTTCTCTCTCTCTCCCTCTCTCTCTGCCCTTCACTCATTTGCAACCCCTCTCAAAAAAACAAAAAAACAAAACCAGTGCACTACACATTCTTTTCAGGTGTACAAGGAATATTTTCTAGGATGTTATTATTAGGCCACAAAATAAGTCTCAATAAATTTTTAAAAAAGACCAAAATTATATCCTGCATCTTTTCCATCCACAATGGTACAAAACCAGAAATCAACCACAGAATAAATTTGGAAAGAACATAAATATATAGAGAGGGTAAATAACATGCTACTGAACAATGAATGGGTCAACCAAGAAATCAAAGAGGATATCAAAAAATACTTGGAGACACCACTAGTGTTGGCAAGGATGTAGAGAAAAAGGAACCCTCATGTACTGTTGGTGGGAATGCAAACTGGTGCAGCCACTGTAGAAAATCATACAGAGTTTCCTCAAAAAGATAAAAATAGAACTCCCCTACAATCCAGTAAATCCACTACTGGGTATTTGCCCAAAGAAAACAGAAGCACTAATTCAAACAGATCTATGCACCTGTATGTTTACTGTAGCATTATTTACACTAGCCAAGAAACATGGAAGCAACCCAAGTGTCCACCCACAGATGAATGGATAAGATGATGTGACACACACACACACACACAAACACACACACAAATGTTACTCAGCCACAAAAAAGAATGAGGGGCGCCTGGGTGGATCAGTTGGTTAAGCGTCCAACTTCAGCTCAGGTCATGATCTTGCGGTTTGTGGGTTCAAGCCCCACACTGGGCTATGTGCTGACAGCTCAGAGCCCGGAGCCTATTTCAGATTCTGTGTCTCCTTCTCTCTCTCTGCCCCTCCCCTTCTCCCGCTCACACGTGTGCTCTCTCTTTTCTCTCTAAAATAAACATTTAAAAAAAAAAAAAAACGAATGAAATCTTGCTTTTGCAATGACATAGATGGATCTAGACGGTATAATGCTATGAAATAAGTCAGTTAGAGAAAGATAAATACCATATGATTTCACTCATATGTGGAATTTAAGAAACAAACAAAACAGAAAAAAAGAAACAAAAACAGATGCTAAATATAGAGAACAACCTGGTGATTTCCAGAGGGGAGGCAGGAGGGGGATTAGGTAAAATAGATGAAGGAGATTATAAGAGTACACATCATGATAAGCACTGAGTAGTGTATACAATTACTGAATCAGTATACTGTGCACCTGAAACTAATATAACACTGTATGTTAATTACACTGGGATTAAAAAAAAAATACATGAAAACAAATAAAACTCAATAGTCTAAAACTGTTGGGATGCAGCAAAAGCTGTTCAAAGAGGGAAGTTTACAGCAATACAGACCTATCTCAACAAACAAATTCTCAAAGAAATAACCTAATATTACACCTAAAGGAGCCAGGAAAAGAACAAAGCACAAAACCAGTAGAAGAAAGGAAATAATAAAGATTAGCACAGAAATAAATTAAATACAGGCAAATAAAAGCAAAACCCCTAAAACAACAGAGTGCCTTACACCTAAAGGAGCTAGAAAAAGAACAAACAAAACCTAAAGGAAATAATAAAGATTAGAGCAGAAATAAATGATAAAGAAACAAAAACCAAAAGAACTGATCAATGAAACTAGGAGCTCATTCTTTGAAAAAAAATCAATAAAACTGATAAACCTCTAGCCAGACTTATCAAGAGAAAAAAAGAGTACTCAAATAAATAAAATCACAAATGAGAGAGGAGATATAACAACACCACAGAAATACAATTATGAGAATATTATGAGAAACTACATGCTGGAGCACCTGGGTAGCTCAGTCGGTTGAGCATCTGACTCTTGATTTTGGCTCAGGTCATGATCACACAGTTGTGGGATCAAGCCCTGCATCAGGCTCACTTCTGAGCATGGACCCTGTTTGGGATTCTCTCTTTTCCTCTCTCTCTGCCCCTCCCCTGCTCGTATGCACGTGTGCATGCTCTCTCTCTCTCTCAAAAATAAAAAAAGGGGCGCCTGGGTGGCTCAGTCAGTTAAGCATCCGACTTTGGCTCAGGTCATGATCTCGTGGTTTGTGGGTTCGAGCCCTGCATCGGGCTCTGTGCTGACAGCTCAGAGCCCAGAGCCTGCTTCAGATTCTGTGTCTCCTCTCTCTGCCCCTCCCCACTGGTGCTCTGTCTCTATCAAAAATAAATAAACGTAAAAAAAAATTAAAAAAAAAAACTATATGCCAACAAACTGGAAAACCTAGAATAAGTGGATAAAGTCTGAGAAACATAAACTACCAAAACTGAAACAGGAAGACACAGAAAATTTGAACAGACTGATTACCAGAAAAGAAACTGAATCTGTAATCAATAAACTCTCAACAAAGTCCAAGATCAGATAGCTTCCCAGGTGAATTCTACCTAACATTTAAAGAACAGTTAATACCTATTCTTCTCAAACTATTCAAAAAAATAGAAAAAGGAAGGAAAGCTTCCAAAATCCATTCTATGAGGCCAGCATTAACCTGATATCAAAACCAGATAAAGACACGACAAAAAATGAGAACTACAGGCCAGCATCTAGATATAACATAGATATTATGTTAACATATTTTAACATAGATATAAAAATACTCAACAAAATACTAGCAACCCAAATCCAACAATACATTAAAAAAGTCATTCACCACAATCAAGAGGGTTTATTCCAGGGATACAAGGATGATTCAATATTTGGAAATGAATCGTGATACATCACATCAATAAGAGAAAGAATAAAAACCATATGATCAACTTGGTAGATGCAGAAAAAGCATTTGACTAAGTACAACATCCATTCATGATAAACACTTTCAACAAAGTAGGTTTAGAGAGAACATACCTCAACATAATAAAGGCCATATGTGAAAAACCCACAGCTAACATCATATTCAATGGTGAAAAATTGAGAGCTTTTCCTCTAAGATTGGGAACAAGACAAAGATGCCCACTCTCACAATTTCTTTTAATGTTTTATTTTTGAGAGTGAAAGAAAGAGTGTGCGTGCATGTGGGAGGGACGGAGAGAAAAAGGGAAAGAAAGAATCCCAAGCAGTCTCCGTGCTGTCAGTGCAGAGCCCAAAGCAGGGCTTGTTCCCAAGAACTGTGAGATCATGAACTGAACCAAAAACAAGAGTAGGATGCTTAACGCACTGAGCCACCCAGGCACCCCTATTTTCTTTTTCTTCTTCTTTTAGAGAGACTGTGCACATGAGCAGAGGAGAGAGGCAGAGGAATAGAGAGAATCTTTTTTTTTTTTTAATGTTTTTATTTATTTTTGAGACACAGAGAGACAGAGCATGAACGGGGGAGGGTCAGAGAGAGAGGGAGACACAGAATCTGAAGCAGGCTCCAGGCTCTGAGCCATCAGCCCAGAGCCCGACGCGGGGCTCGAACTCACGGACTGTGAGATCATGACCTGAGCTGAAGTCGGACGCCTAACCGACTGAGCCACCCAGGCACCCCGAATAGAGAGAATCTTAAACAGGCTACACACTGAGCATGGAGCCTGACACGGGGCTTGGTCCCATAACCCTGGGATCATGACCAGAGCCAAAACCAAGAGTCGGATGCTCAACCAACTGAGCCACCCAGGTGCCCCTCAGATGACATGATTCTATATACAGAAAACCCTAAAGACCCCACCAAAAAACTACCAGAATAAATGAATTCAGTAAAGTCATAACTTACAAAATTAATATACAGTGGGGCGCCTGGGAGGCTCAGCCAGTTAAGTGCCTGACTTCAGCTCAGGTCGTGATCTCGCAGTCCGTGGGTTCGAGCCCCGTTTTGGGCTCTGTGCTGACAGCTCGGAGCCTGGAGCCTGCTTTGGATTCTGTGTCTCCCTCTCTCTCTGCCCCTCCCCTGCTCATGCTCTGTCTCTGTCTCAAAAATAAATAAAAACATTTTTAAAAAATTTCAAAATTAATATACAGAAATCTGTTGCATTTCTATACACTAATGATGAAGTAGCAGAAAGAGAAATTAAGAAAACAATCCCATTCACAATCACACCAAAACTAACAAATCACGTAGGA